GGACGGGCGCCGAGCGTGTGTCCTCGCGTCCGCCCGGCGCGGTGCGTCCATGGGCAGCCCCTGGAACCGCAGCGACGGCGCGGAGGGCGCCCCGCTGCCCTGTGACGAGCGTCTCTGCTCGCCCTTCCCCCTGGGGGCGCTGGTGCCGGTGACCGCCGTGTGCCTCGGTCTGTTCGCCGTCGGGGTGAGCGGCAACGTGGTGACGGTGCTGCTGATCGGGTGCTACCAGGACATGCGGACCACCACCAACCTGTACCTGGGCAGCATGGCCGTGTCCGACCTGCTCATCCTGCTCGGGCTCCCCTTCGACCTGTACCGCCTCTGGCGCTCGCGGCCCTGGGTGTTCGGGCAGCTGCTCTGCCGCCTCTCGCTCTACGTGGGCGAGGGCTGCACCTACGCCACGCTGCTGCACATGACGGCGCTCAGCGTCGAGCGCTACCTCGCCATCTGCCGCCCGCTCCGCGCCCGCGTCCTAGTCACCCGGCGCCGCGTCCGCGCCCTCATCGCGGCGCTCTGGGCCGTGGCGCTGCTCTCCGCGGGGCCCTTCTTCTTTCTGGTGGGCGTCGAGCAAGACCCCGGCATCGACGCGGTCCCAGACCTTAACGGCAGCGCGCCGTTCACCCCCTCGCCCCGCACCTGGCCGCCGCCGTCGCCGTCCCCGCCGTCGGGGCCCGAGGCCGCGGAGGCCGCGGCCGCCGCGGCCGCCGCGGCGCTGTTCAGTCGCGAGTGCCGGCCGAGCCCGTCTCAGATGGGCGCGCTGCGCGTCATGCTGTGGGTCACCACCGCCTACTTCTTCCTGCCCTTTCTGTGCCTCAGCGTCCTCTACGGGCTCATCGGGCGGGAGCTGTGGAGGAGCCGGGGCCCGCTGCGAGGCCCGGCCGCCTCCGGGCGCGAGAAGGGCCACCGGCAGACGGTCCGCGTCCTGCGTAAGTGGCGCCCCCTCTGTTCCAAACACGCCAGCCCGCGGTCCAGGCAGCGTCCCCTTCCCCTTGTCTCCCAACGCCTCTTCTAGCTACAATTCCTTGTGTCATTTTGCTCCAGCCTCCACCTGCCGGTCCTGCCCGTCTCCAGAGAAAACCATCTCCAGTCCTCTGATAGTTCTGGGTAACCCCAGGGCGCCCCCGAGGAGTGTGGTATTTGGTGGGATGCCTGGGTCCGCTAAGCCGCTGGATCCGTGAGCCGGGCTGATCCAGGATGGGGAAACCAACCGCCTGTCTCTGTTAGATGCCATAGATGTGAATTACTCATAGTACCTTTGAGAACATGGGGTAGAGTGCATTAAGCTAAATTAAAAAAAAAAACAAAAAAACTTAATGTTAAGTTATCCTGCAGGCTAAAGTGAACCATGCCCATATCAAAACAAAAAATTGTGCTGGAAGGAAGCCTGCCAGAACATCTTGTTAGTAGAAATTTCTCCTTCTGGTTTATGTCCAACCGTGATAACGCATATATGCAGTTTTAAAGCAAATGTCGATGCTGTTTGCAGCCTGGTAGTTGTCCTGGGGTGGGAATCGGCTAGGTAAAAGTTTATTTAATTTGTTTGCTGTTACTTATTATTTCGGATGGTTTCTCGGCGGGGGGGAGGGGGGCTTATTTGTTTTCGGATGCTTTAGCTAACTCTGGTGCCTGTGTCTTGTTTTACAGTGGTGGTGGTTCTGGCATTTGTAGTTTGCTGGTTGCCTTTTCACGTGGGCAGGATCATTTACATAAATACAGAAGATTCTCGGATGATGAACTTCTCTCAGTACTTTAACATTGTAGCTTTGCAACTTTTCTATCTGAGTGCGTCCATCAACCCGATCCTCTACAACTTCATTTCAAAGAAGTACAGAACAGCGGCCTGGAACCTGCTGCTGGCCAGGCAGTCCAGACAGAGAAGTTTCTGCAGAAGCAGGGACATGGTGGGGGACACAGGAGGAGATACTGCTGGCTACACAGAGCAGAGCACCAAAGTACAGACGTCATCGACCAGCATGGCCAAGCAAGTGGCTTCCTCCCACAACGTGGGGACTTCAGGGAAAACAGGTCTATAGGGAAAGAAGGACTGCAAGTGGGCAACTGATGCCATTAGGAAGAATTGGGAAGAGTGGTCAGCATTTTGCAGATTGATCGGCAACTTTGTCAGCATGATTTTTTTTTTCCTTTTTTAAACCAAGCTACGCAATTTAACCACCTCCCGGCATACCCCTCAAGGACGTTGATTTCAGCCTCGGGAAATCCCACAACACAAAATGTGCTCTGGGGAGGTTTTCTAAGTTTTCGTTCTCCTAGACTTTGCAAATATGATTGCTCATTTTCTGGTTAATAAGTCATACAGAGAGATGCTGTCATGAGACTTGTCTCCTCTGAGATCAGGGGTGTATTTGTATTTTCATGTTCTGGATATACATGTAATGGTGCATATACAAGGAGCCCAGGATAATTAGAGCTTTTATTCAAGAAATTATTTAATGCCTACATAAGGTAGCAGAATTTTTTAGAAGCAAATGAAAGGAATTGTGGGTAAAGGCCAATGTTCAGGGGTCCCACCTCACTCCTGGCTGAGAACAAATCATAGAGTTGAGGGACAATACCGTCTTTTGGAACTGCTGTGCATCAGCAAGTGTGTTGCCACCCACTTGTCCCCGAGACTGCCCCCCAGGTTTGCCCAGTGCCCTGGCTTCAAGGCAGCGCCCCGGACACCGAAGCCTGAGGGCAGGGAGCAACTGCAGGGCTTGGCTTCCCTGCAAAGTGACTGCTAATGACATTTATAAAGATCGTTATTGTGCCTTATTTGCCTCCGCTTGGTGGGATACGTATTACCATCATTCCTGTTTTACTGGTGACGAAATCGAGTCTTCGATGTCCCAGGGTGGGTATGAGTCTGAGCGCCAGTCTTTAGATTCTTACCCATTCCCGCCATGAGACGCTGCTCTTACTGCAAAACACAGGAGTCAATGGATGTAATCAGGGCTGAAAGAGAATGTGTCCGCCTTTCTGACCAACAACTCTGTCCCTGTTTTGTGTTTTACAGTTTAAAACACAGACCTGTTTTCAGAGGGCTGCTGCCTGCCCCCCAAAGGGCCTCATTGACTCCACCGTCTGTAAGAATGGCGCCCCCTGCAGGCGGGCAGGGCACAGAGTCTCTGTTGTAAACTACAGACGGTGAATCCATAGAGTCCACTCAGCGTGCTGACAAAGGTCTGTCACTTTTACACTGACCAACCAAATACAGTGATGCCTTTAGGTCCCCGTGAAGGGTCCTGACACCCTGGTCCTGCCCTCAACTGGGACAGCAGAGAAGTCTTTCGTCTGCATTGTGTCTCTGCCAAGTGGAGGGACAGGCAGATAGTGGCTGCTTGGGGCGGCCGTCCCCAGACTGTACATGGCAGGTATTTGGTGATTACTTGCAAAAAGGACTCTGTGGAGTCACCACAGCACGTATCACATCAGAGGTCCCAAGTTGTCGCACCCAGCTTTCCTTGACTTCTTTTGTCCCAGAACAATCTCCCCATCCTCCCTCCTCAAGAACTCTTTGAAACCTGGTGGACTGAGGAACACTGTTGGAGCCAGCAGGGTTCGCACAGGGGGGACGTGCCAGCCTTGTGCCCCGGCCACTCCTCGGCTTGGTGGCCCTTCGTAGGGGTGTGCTGGAGCTGATGCCGCACACAGTGTCTCTGCTCGTGGGGGTTCGTCTGTGGGGCAGTCAGATGAGGCCTGTTCCCTATGGAAGGTCATGGCTAAGAACCTTACTGATATCTTAAGTGTAATAGAGCTATAGAAGCAAAGACCTCTCCTTTGAGTTTTTTCGGTGAGATTCCAGAAGAGAGGGATTTATATCCCACTTCCCTGTGACCTAAGTGTGTTCCCAGGTGTGTGGGAGTGGGGAGGATCCCCCTTCCTTCACCACTGGGTGCCTGAGGCGGAGGGTCTGAAGCCCATCCCTCCTGCAGGTCACTGTGCAGTTGTTTCTGAAGTGCTGGCCTCACTCATTAATGGACTGTGAAATCAGTGGACTCTGTCACTTTTTTTTTTTTGTAACGGGAAGGAGTGGGGCAAGAACAGAATAGAGAAACCAGGCCTTCACGTGTGGTAAGGGGAACTGTTATGTTGTAAAACTTGTTTCAACTATTAGCCCGTGTCTTTCCTGGTTCACAAAATAAAATGTGTTCTTACTGTGGGTCGTGGTCAAGAATATTTGAAAAATTGTTCTCAGATCTAAAATTGTTCTCTACCCCAGCAGAAAGCGTCCTTCTGTAACAAGAGGGGGATTCCTCAGAAGACCCAGGATGGCTGGTCAGGGATCATTGGAGAGTGTGGTTTTCGGTCCTGGGCCCCCCTCCCTCTTCCCAGGGGTGGTGTCATCAAGGCTGTTCCCCAGGGCCACTCCCCACACCCTCCACGTGCTGGCGTCCCTGCAAGGTTCTCTTGAACCCTCTCTGCTGTCTGCAGACCAAAATGCTTTTGTTAGGTGAGGCATCAGCCTTGGGGAAGGGTTTGTGTTTCATTCATTCACATGGCAAATATTTACCAAGCGAAGGCTAAGTGTATGACCGAACACGCTAGAAAGATAAGTCCATGTCATGGCATCCAAGTCAATCTCCTTTCTAATGGCACTATCTTGTTTGAAATGTGTAATCGTGTCATCCAGACTAACCCAGATTTCGCTCACAGGGTAATAAAATCACCTACATCAGATGGGCGTGCAGAATATCACGGTGGTGTTACTCACAGAGACATACATTCCTCCCTTTTCCATATGTGACATTTCCACTTCTGAGGAAATGTTCAAAGAAGCTATTGCACAACACCTCCTGGGAACCTAGAGTCCCCTGCACAAGCCCTCAATGGGACATGAGAGGGCAACATGTTTAATGTTTGAACACGTCCCCTCCTGACCATTTCTACTCCTGTAACAATAACGCTCACCAGCATGTGAAAGCGTTGGGGACATAAGTGTTCATGGTTGTGCAGGTCGAGTGTTTTAAGGGGAGCTTTGAAAAGACTTTTCTTAAACATAGATGCAAGGCAGTTTTTCATTGTGAGCCAACTTTTTTTTTTAAACGTATTTATTTGACAGAGAGAGCAGGAGCAGGGGGAGCAGCAGAGGGAGAGGGAGAAGCAGGCTCCCTGTTGAGCAGGGAGCCCGATGCGGGGCTCGATCCCAGGACCCTGAGATCATGACCTGAGCTGAAGTCAGATGCCTAACCGACTGAACCACCCAGGCAGGCGCCCTGTGAGCCAACTTGCTGAAGATTCTGAATTCTTAAATATTACGTAGATGGGATCGGCTCTGAGCCGACTTCCGAAGTCAGCATCCTGTCCTGGGAGCGCGGGAGCGTCTGTCCATGCTTGGTGGCCTGGCGCTCAGCGTGTCCCCTGCTCTGCGTAAGCTATAAGGAAGTGACAGAGACAGACTCTACCTGTCCCCTTCTTAGGGAAACAACCCACACTTTTTAAAGAATAACGGACGCCTGTGTAAGTAAGGGCTAAAAAGTGCCAGGCGGACCAGGAGAGCCGAGTGTGCACGGGCCGCGGCGCGAGGCTTTGTGTGAATCTCTCTCACAGCACCCAGCATGTCCCCTGGCAGGTGGCTGGTTCCCAGGGTTTGAAGACAAACCATGTCTTATTCCCCTTGGCATCTCCTGCCCAGGGAGACAACATGTGTTGAACACCGGCCGCAAGGGAGGGGACAGAGATGGACAGATGGCTGCGATGTGTGATCTGAGCTACCAGACAACACAAGGGAAGATGCAAAACAGCAGCGCAAGGGCTGAAGGGAGTCGAGGAGGGGCCTCCGAGGGACGGGGGTGGGGGGGGGACGGAGGGCACTGATGTCCCCAGGGGCTGGAGCCCGCAGAACAGACCGGGCACTGCTGGAGGAGGCTGAGCCTGGGAGGCCAGTTGGGAGCAGTTACTGACTGTCACCCAGGCGTAGCGCACTTGTGGGGCAGAGCGTGACACCGGAGCAGTGACATTACCAGGGGTAGCACCTCTGGTGGCCAGGAGCCCCAGCAGCATCGTGGCCTCAGAGCGGCCAGCAAGCCCCAGAGCCGGGCGCTGCCGCCTGAGCTTCCGGCGCCCGTAGCAGCTCCTCCCCGCGGGCAGCCCGGAAGGCCACGGTTTGACGTTTCCTTTCTCCCGTCTTTGCAGGGAGTGTGCTCGTCTCGAAAATGTCCCTAAGAATTTCTACTACTTGTGAGGATATGGGGATTTAAAAAGAGAGAGAGAGATTATTTTATTATAATGGTTATACTTGTTCGTAACTGTAACGTAAATAGAAGAAAACCTGATCTTTGTTTCTGTCTTACTTGAACGATAATTCATTACTTTGTCCTTAGAGCGAATATCAGCTCCCTTCCCATTGGCCGGTCAGATTCTCTACAAGAGTGGTTCTCAAACTTCAGCCTGCGTCAGAATCACCAGAGGTGTGTTCGGGCACAGGGGACTGGGCTCCACCCCCAGTTTCCGATTCAGTGGGTCTGGGGTGGGGCCCGAGAACTTGCATTTCTCTCAAGTTCCCAGGCGATACTGATTCTGGTGGTCTAGGGACCACCCTCAGAGCAGCTCTGCTCTAGATTGTGCTACAGAAAATCCACAGACCGGTGGTATCAGCATCACTTGGGATCTTGTTGAAATGCCGATTTTCAGGCCCCACACCAAACCTTCTAAATCAGACTCTCCATTTTAACAAGATGCTCAGGTGATTCCAATGCACATTAAAATTCGAGTGGCATTGATCCGGAGATTGGAACTGTAGCATCAGGATCTCTGAGGATTGGACGCAGATGTAGCTCTGAAAGCTCTCCAGGTGGTTCTAATGTGCAAACAAGACTGTGAATCATCAATAAGATCTCCCTTACATCAGTCTTTTCCATTCTCACCCTATCCCACTTCCCCTTCCCGCCCTTTTCCATCCTTTTCCTGTATTTACCCCAGGATAAAGGAAGAGATACAAAGATAGTGAATAAAGATACTAAAGTTGGGTTTGGTGATGGACTCATATGGAAGTCTTTTATGTTCTGGCAGAAACTCACGACTGTGGTCCAGTAGCGACTCCCTGGTACCTGAGCCCTTCAGTCCCCTGAGCCTCTCCCTGTGGGTGTGGCCCAGCCACCATCAATGCTGACATCCTCCTCGCTGCAGGCCAGGCTGGCCCCAGCCTCTCCATGGCTACTCATCTCAGTAACCCCACCTCCACCAGGTCTTCAGCTCTTCAAAGCATGTTCTGTTTTTCTTTGACCTCAATACCTGGTTTGGTTCCTTGCCCTCTTCCTCAGTTCCTCCAGGACAGGCCTGCTCAGCTCTTCATGGCCCTCTTGGGGTCTTGAGTTCTTTTTTTTTTTTTTTTTTAAGATTTTATTTATTTATTTATTTATTTATTTGAAAGAAAGAGAGAGAGAGCATGCACAAGTGGGGGGGAGTGGCAGAGGGAGAGGGACAAGCAGACTCCCCGCTGAGCAGAGGACCCAATGCAGGGCTCGATCCCAGGATGCTGGGATCATGACCTGAACCAAAGGCAGACACTTAACTGACTGAGCCACCCAGGTGTCCCTGGGGTCTTGGGTTCTATCCCTAATTCCTTGACCTCATGTCACTGTGGCTCTGTGGGTAGCCCTGGAGCTGTCTACCTGTCGCCTCAGATTTCTGCTGGGTGCTTGGTGTTGAGATCAGCCAGAATTGCCTTTGGGGTGGATGGGCTGTTCTCCAGGTCCCAGTGAAGAGGTGCCTCCTGAGCCTTGACTCTGATAAGCCACAACAGCTTGTTTGACCCTTGAGAGTCACTCTTGGTCTCCTACCTTCCAACACTATCATGACTGAGTCCCTAAAACTCAGAGGCTGATTGGATACAAGAAGGGTCTTACCTCCAATATTTTAAGCCTACTTAACTAGGAGAACATTGGGGCTCTGTGAAAGAAACAGGTTGTCAGAGGTAGAGGTGATTTAGCAGGGGACGATAATGAAGTCCATTTTGATTGCTCTGTTTGCACTGAAGCCGTCCATCTGTTGTTTTTCCACAACCTCCTGGGAGGAAGTCCCGATAGTCAAATACCTTTAAGATATGCTGCAATACCACGTAAACCCCATCTGACCAGCTTATTTTTGCCTTTTCTTTCATATATTAACATTCCACAGAACACTCCAATTTGAAATGCTAGAGGGAAGTTTGGGTGTGAAATCAAGGCCAATAATAAAGATTTGGGAGTCCAGGTTACTACCTGATGGTCCCAGCGCAGGCTCCAGAAGTCACTGAAGCAGGCAGAAGAAGCAGAAAAAGGAAAAGTGACAAACATGAGACAACCCAAATTTGAGGAGGATTGGAGGCCATAGGGTCACACACCACAGAGGACACAAAGAGAATAAAGTAAGGTTGTCAGATGAGATGCAGGACTCCCAGTTCAACTGGAATTTTGGATGAACAATGATGATTTTTTTTTCAGTATAACTTTAATATATTAAAAGTATCATTCATTATTTACCTGAAATTCAAATTTAACTGGACACTGTGTTTTGATTTGTTAAATCTGGTAATCCTAGGGCACCTGGGTGGCTCAGTTGGTTGGGCGACTGCCTTCGGCTCAGGTCATGATCCTGGAGTCCCGGGATCGAGTCCCGCATCAGGCTCCCTGCTCAGCAGGGAGTCTGCTTCTCCTTCTGACCCTCCTCCCTCTCATGCTCTCTGTCTCTCATTCTCTGTCTCAAATAAGTAAATAAAATCTTAAAAAAAAAAAAAACAAGTCACCATTTAAAAAAAAAAAAAAATCTGGTAATCCTAGAATGAGGGCAATGGAAAGGCCACAGGATATGGCAAAAGGAAAGAAGCCGGAGAGCCTTTCAACAGAGCATTGGGGCAGGATCCAGACAATGGTAAGTTACACAGGAAACGGTTGCTGAGCAACAGGGTTTAGGCTGGTCCAGCCTCGGGGCCGCCGTGTGCAGGGTGTCCAGAAGCCAGCCCGTCTTGCTGTGTCTTGTGCACAACCTCCCTGCGGCGGCTGCTGGGTAATTGTAACCCACACTGATGTTTTTTAAATCACAAAACTGAAGAAATAAGCATCTGATTCCAAACCTCCTGGAACGTGGTGTGTAATAAAAATGTGTTGGACCGAGTAAGTTAATTTATATATAACCTGCTCCT